TAGCTCTATAATAGAGCTTGAAGTCAGGTATGGTGATGCCTCCTGAAGTTCCTCTATTGTATAGGGATGTTTTGGCTATCCTGGGCCTTTTGTTTTTCCATATAAAGTTGATTAATGTTCTTTCCAGGTCCTTGAAGAATTGTGATGGAATTTTGATAGGGATTGCATTGAATCTGTAGACTGCTTTTGGCAAGATTGCCATTTTTATTATGTTGATCCTACCAATCCAAGAGCATGGGAGATCTTTCCATTTTCTGGTATCTTCTTTGATTTCTTTCTTCAAAGACACAAAGTTCTTGATATACAGGTCCTTCACTTCCTTGGTTAACATTATCCCCAGATATTTGATGCTGTTTTTGGCTATTGTAAAAGGTGATGTTTCTCTGATTTCTTTCTCAGTCACTTCATCTTCTGTATATAATAGGGCCACTGATTTTTTTGAGTTTACCTTGTATCCTGCCACATTGCTGAAGGTGTTTATCAGCTCTAGGAGTAACCTTGCGGAGTTTTTGGGTCACTTATGTAAACTATCATATCATCTGCAAATAGTGAAAGTTTGACTTCTTCTTTTCCTATTTGTATCCCCTTTATCTCCTTTTGTTTTCTTATTGCTGTAGCTAGAACTTCAAGTACAATATTGAAGAGATATGGAGAGAGTGGACAGCCTTGTCTTGTTCCTGATTTTAGAGGAATTGCTTTGAGTTTCTCTCCATTTAGTTTGATGTTAGCTGTTGGTTTACTGTATATTGCTTTATTATATTCAGGTACGTTCCTGTTATCCCTGATCTCTCTAGGACCTTTATCATGAAGGGGTGCTGGATTTTGTCAAAGGCTTTTTCAGCATCTAGTGAGATGATCATGTGGTTTTTCTTTTGCAGATTGTTAATATGGTGGATTACATTGATAGATTTTCTAATGTTAAACCATCCCTGCATTCCTGGAATGAAGCCTACTTGATCATGGTGGATGATTTTTCTGATGTGTTCTTGAATCCGGTTTGCAAGTATTTTATTGAGTATTTTTGCATCAATGTTCATGAGGGAAATTGGTCTATAGTTCTCTTTCTTAGTGGTGTCTTTGTGTGGCTTGGGTATCAAGGTAATTGTAGCCTCGTAGAAAGAGTTTGGCAGTGAGCCTCCTGCTTCTATTGTGTGGAATACTTTGATGAGTATTGGAATGAGCTCTTCTTTGAATTTCTGGTAGAATTCTGTACTGAAGCCATCTGGGCCTGGGCTTTTTTTGTTTGGGAGACTTTTGATGACTGCTTCTATTTCATTAGGGGTTATAGGTCTGTTTAGATTATTTATCTGTTCTTGATTTAGTTTTGGCAAGTGATATCTATCCAGGAAATTGTCCATTTCCTTTAAATTTTCAAATTTTGTGGAGTACAGATTTTCAAAGTATGCCCTGATGATTCTCTTGATTTCCTCAGAGTCCGTTGTTATGTCCCCTTTTTCATCCCTGATTTTGTTAATTAGCATGTTCTCTCTCTGTCTTTTGGTTAGTTTGGACAGAGGTTTGTCTATTTTGTTGATTTTCTCAAAGAACCAACTCTTTGTTTCATTGATTCTTCTCAGTGTTTTCCTGGTTTCTACTTGATTGATTTCAGCCCTCAATTTGATTATTTCCTGGCGTCTGCTCCTCCTGGGGGAGTTTGCTTCTTTTTGTTCTAGAACATTCAGCTGTGCTATTAATTCTCTAGTATGACTGTTTTCCAGTTTTTTCATGTGGGCACTTAGTGCTATAAACTTTCCTCTCAGCACTGCTTTCAAAGTGTCCCATAAGTTTGTGTATGTTGTGTCTTCATTCTCATTGAAATCGAGGAAGTCTTTAATTTCTTTTTTTATTTGTTCCTTTACCCAGGGATGGTGCAATTGTGCATTGTTCAATCTCCATGAGTTTGTAGGGTTTCTGCGATTTGTGTTATTGTTGAATTCTAATGTTAATGCATGGTGGTCTGATAAGATGCAGGGGGTTATTCCAATTTTTTGTATCTGTGGAGATTTGCTATGTTTCCTATTATGTGGTCAATTTTAGAGAAGGTTCCATGTGGTGCCGAGAAGAAGGTATATCCCTTTGTATTTGGGTGGAGTGTTCTATAGATGTCTGTTAAACCCAGTTGGGTCATAGCTTCTATTAGTTCTTTTGTTTCTTTGTTAAGTTTCTGTCTGGAGGTCCTGTCTAGCGGTGAGAGCGGAGTGTTGAAGTCTCCTACTATTAGTGTGTGAGATTTTATGTGCATTTTGAGCTTTAGTAATGTTTCTTTCATGAATGTAGGTGCCTTTGTATTTGGGGCATAGATGTTTAAAATCGAGACTTCGTCTTGATGTATTTTTCCTTTGATGAATATGAAGTGCCCTTCTTCATCTCTTTTGATTGATTTTAATTTGAAGTCTAATTTGTTAGATATTAGGATTGCTACGCCCGCTTGTTTCTTGGGGCCGTTTGATTGGAAGATCTTTTCCCAGCCCTTTACTCTGAGATAACGTCTGTCTTTGGTGTTGAGATGTGTTTCTTGTATGCAGCAGAAGGAAGGGTTCTGTCTTCGTATCCATTCTGCTAGTCTGTGTCTTTTTATAGGCAAGTTGAGGCCGTTGACATTGAGGGATATTAATGACCATTGATAGGTGATCCTTGTTTGCGCTTGATTTATTGTTAGTGAAGTTATTTTGTGTAGTTTCTCCTCCCTTTTTCTTTTGGTGTTTTGTAAAGTATGATTATATATTGCCTGTGTCTTTGTGAATGTAGTTATCTTCCTTGGCTCTAGGTTTTCCTTCTAGCATTTTCTGTAGAGCTGGATTCATGGATACGTATTGTTTAAATCTGGCTTTGTCATGGAATATTTTGTTTTCTCCATCTATGGTAATTGAGAGCTTTGCTGGATATAGTAGTCTGGGCTGGCATCCTTGTTCCCTTAGCGTTTGTAGGACATCTGACCAGGATCTTCTGGCTTTCATCGTTTCCACTGAGAAGTCAGGTGTAATTCGGATAGGTCTGCCTTTGTATGTTACTTGGCCTTTTTCTTTAGCTGCTCTTAATATTTTCTCTTTACTCTGTAGGTTTGATGTTTTGATTATTATATGGCGAGGTGACTTCTTTTTCTGGTCAAGCCTATTTGGTGTTCTGTAAGATTCTTGTACTTTCATAGGCATATCTTTCTTTAGGTTAGGGAAGTTTTCTTCTATGATTTTGTTGAATATGTTTTCTGTACCTTTAAGTTGAAGTTCTTCACCTTCTTCTATACCTATTATTCTCAGGTTTGGCTTCTTCACGGTGTCCCATATTTCCTGGATATTTTGTGTTAAGGATTTGTTGGTTTTGAGATTTTTTTTGGTTGACAACTCTATATCCTCTAATGAGTCTTCAACACCTGAGATTCTCTCTTCTATCTCTTGTATTCTATTGGTGATACTTGCATCTGTAGTTCCAGACCGTTTACCGAGCTTTTCTATTTCCAGCATCCCTTCATTCTGTGTTTTCTTTATCGTTTCTATTTCAGCTTTCAATCCTTCAACTGTTTGAGCTGTTTCCTTAATTTTCTTGGTTGTTTTTTCTTGGTGCTCTTTAGATTCTTCGAGAGATTTGTTTATTTCTTGAATTTTTCCCCCATTTCATGGATTTTTTTGTTTGTTTTTTCTTCTATTTCTTTAAGGGATTTCCTTGTTTCTTCTTTGAGGGTCTCCATCATCTTCATGAGATAATTTTTAAGGTCTGTCTCCTCTTGTTCATCTATGTAGTGCTTTTCAGGTCTTGCTGGTGTTGGATCCCTGGATTCTGGTGGGGTCATGTTGGTGTTTCTATTGCTGAGTGATCTCTTATTCTGTCTTCTTCCCATCTCTTCTTCCAGTGGGTGCTGGTGGGGTCTTTCCGTCTCCACTGGTCTCCTTCCTTACTGCAGCTGAAGCTGGGGATGCTGAAGCTAGACTCGCTGGGGTTGGGGTCTTGGAGGGGTTGATGTCTTTCCTGAAACTGGGCTCGCTGGGTTGGGGTCTTGGAGGGGCTGATCTCTTTCCTGTGTGGGCGGCTCTTCTGGAAGCCAGGAGCGGCCCCCAAGATGGAGGGGGAAGGGTGATGGGCGGGCGGTCCCCCGCTGGAGACCCAATCTCACCTGAAGCTGGGCTTGCTGGGTTGGGGTCTTGGAGGGGCTGATCTCTTTCCTGTGTGGGCGGCTCTTCTGGAAGCCAGGAGCGGCCCCGAAGATGGAGGGGGAAGGGTGATGGGCGGGCGGTCCCCCGCTGGAGACCCAATCTCACCTGAAGCTGGGCTTGCTGGGTTGGGGTCTTGGAGGGGCTGATCTCTTTCCTGTGTGGGCGGCTCTTCTGGAAGCCGGGAGCAGCCCAATATATTGATTTTTTATTTGTTTCTTCCCCTAAAGTCACTTTATTTAAAAGAGCAAGACCTTTGAATAACCTTGAATACATTAAGTTCAGGGATATGATCGAAGTGATTTTTATAATCCTTAATTTATCCCCTTAAAAAGAAACATAAGATGCTCTTTCTTTTTCCTTGCTTTGAGACACAGAAATCATGAATTATAGTGGTGACCCAGCTTGGACAATAAGAGCAAGAACAATGAACAGAAGGATGAGACAAAGGAAGCATGAGTGTGAAACCTCTGTGGAATCAACATACTTTGCTTGTACTAACTTAAACCACACACTACTGGGTTGTTGGTTCAGTAGCCATGCATCCTTCAGCCACTAAACTGGCATTTCAATGGATGCATTTAAATAAAACCAGTAAGTGTATCTCGTAATATATTAGCCTCAAAATGAGTATTCTTATGATAATATTTGTATATTCTATAACAAGAAAAATTAAGCCATATTAAAAAAAATCATCTGGATGTCTTTTGATTAATTTCCAGTAAGCAAAATAAAGTATAAATTGAATCACACAAGTAAGCTGACAAGATTAAAACAGTTTAAATGTTATTTAATATGAACTATTATATTTGGCAATATTATGATAAAAGCAAAAGTATTTGTAGAAATTCTTACCATGGAAAGGTATTCATACGTATTCTGTTCTTGTAAATCAGAATTCCTCCTGACATCACTCCAATCATGATTTCATTGTTACTTTGATCCTTCAAAATAAATAAACACATGACAATCTAAAATAATTAAAACAGGATTACATTTTTTAAAAAAGCACACACATCTGAAAGGCAACACAAAACTGAATTATACTTTATTACAAACCCAAATAGTTTGTTGTTGCCTCATCAAAGGCAAGTTTCAAAACAAGTTTAATTGTGGCAGTATTAACATTCAGTAATCTAGGAGCTGAAGAGATGCCTTAGCAGTTAAGCACTTGCTGCACAAGCATGAGGACCAGAGTTTGATCCTCAGAAACCCTTATGGGCCTGGCAGCCCATCTGTAATCCCAGACTTGGAAGGAGGAGAAAGGCAATTCCCTGAGTGAGCTGTCTAGCAAGACTAGCTGTATCAGCAAACTCTGGGTTTAATTCTGCCTAAATGAATAAGAAGAATAGCAATCAAGGATGATTCTTTACATCAACCTTGGGTCTCTATATACACATGTATACATGTCCAGGTACACCCACACATATGTAAGGACATGAATACCACACAAAAAGACAAAAAAAAGTCATTGTCCTAAAGTACAAATAATCTGATGATCTTTTCTCATGACCAGAACTCTTTGGCCAAGTGTAACCTATAATACAACAGAAAATCCAATAACTATTTATTAACATCATTGGAAAAGCAAAACAGAGGATTTGACACATTTCAAATATCACAAAGAAGAAAATGAGAATTAAGTTTTGAAGAATGTGAGTCCTGGTTCTGAACCTGGGTGGTAGCTGGATTGGTTAACCCACCAGCTTTCCCTGATTGTCACCAGCTGGGTGAGTTCCCCAGCACTATCCAGACATTTCACCTGCTCTCACACCCTCGGGTCCAGCTCACCCACACTCACACCACCAGGGCCAGCTCCACTCTTTTGCCCAGTCGAGGTGCAGGGCCCACTCTCCAATTGCAGCACTTGGTGAGGCATAACCAGCCTTCCATTCTCATACCCCCAAGGCTGGCTCTCCAGACTCTTAAAGGTGGTGGGAGTTAGGGTGCAGGGATGGGAGGGACATGTTTCATTTTACCTTGAAGCATCATTAAAGTTGGCACACATCTTTAATCCCAGCTCTTGGGAGGCAGAGGCAGGCTGATCTCTGAGTTTGAGGCCAGCTTGGTCTACAGAATGAGTTCCAGGACAGGCAGAGCTACACAGAGAAACCCCACCCCCACTTTAATTTTTCTATGATTCCCTATTCTAACAATTACATTTGTATTTTTATCAAATGTGCCATGTTCTCTTTTTATTTCAAACTTTTATTCGTGCTGATTGCTCTACAGTAACAACAAGAAAAAAATTCACTCTCTTGGCACACTCCCTTCTTCCAGCATAAGTGAATATACCACTAGAGTCATCCCTAGGCTAGTTTATAGTTTACATGCTGTTGCCACACAATCCCGCAGCATCCTGTACTTTCTCCCTCGGTCTCATGGATGTAACTGTAAATACAAGACCCATGGATTGGCTTGCTTTTCTTCCCTGCCCATTGCCCACTATCCTGTGAATTTCATGAGGGCAAGAATAATTACGTTTCATCCACTAAATAATGTTGAGAGTGAACTCTGTGGAAAGCACAGAATATCCCACCACAATGATGGCTTAAAAAAATATTTGAATCTTGGACCTTGAGATAAATAACTTTGTTCCACTTGAAAGCAGAGAGCAAACATTTCCCCTTGCTTGTTATTTCAAATAGACTTTTGCTTATGATACCCAATTAACACTTAAGTCTTCTTTCTATGGTTCTCTTTTTAGAAAATTCCCTTTATACTTACTGAATGATCTCTTGAGGTCTTCATATGCACACCCAAGAAATAATGCCTTCCCTAGCCTTTTTGGAGATATAATAATACCACGTAGTTAGGCTGGCCTGGGATGAGTGATCTTGCCTCAAATTCCCAAGTGCTCAAATCATAAGTCACTATGTGGGACATTTTTTTGTTTGATTTGGTTTGGACAAAAGAGTTAACCATTTAAAATTTAAATCTCTTTAATCTGACATTCTACATTTAGCCTCAGAAACTGTTTTACAATCTAACAGTTTAAACAAATGAAAACTACTTTAATTAAATCAATAAATAACAGTATAGTTATATGAGATTTATCTAAATCTGTATTTAATTTTTAAAAATTTAATATTCTTTGCATTTAATTGCCAAGAAACCCCGCAGACATAAAAACCACTTAGAGCTTTCTTGTCCCCTCGCTTTTGTTCTCTTGCTCTTGTCCATCTGTCTGTCTCTCTCATGTCCCCACTCAGAGATAGCCTTTTGTTTTCCCCCAATAAATCTCTTGCATGAGAAAAAAAATCACTTCTGAAACAGCATAGGAGTAAAACTCCCTTTTCTGGCCATTTTAAAGCATAAACTAATCAAAAAATGTAGTTCTATCAGTTATAAACTTTCCTATAATAAAAAGCAAAATCTAGCTGTAACAAACCTAAGTTCAAAAATAATAAGCCCCAAACAAGAAGCAGAGTGAAGCCGGGTGGTGGTGGCACACATCTTTAATCCCAGCACTTGGGAGGCAGAGGCAGGCGGATCTCTGTGAGTTTATGGCCAGCCTGGTCTACAGAGCTCACTTTAGGACAGCTAGGGATATCACACAGAGAAACCCTATCTCAAACCCCCACATCCCACTAAAGAAGCAGAGTACAAGGCCTTTAAAAAGAAAAGAAAAAGAAAAAAGTTCAAGAGACACTTAAAAGAATTACAAGATATTAATCATTTGAGGAAACCAAACCATCAGATCTTTTTAAAGTGAGACAGACATAGGATTTGTGAAACATAGAAAGAACTCATCCCCCTGAACCTGATCAGGTGAGACCCTAAAAGACAAAATTACTGTGAAGCATATAACTTTGAGTACTTCCCCAATGGACTCTGTACCTGCATGTGTCTGTGTATTGAGGCAAGTTCAAAATAATTTACCTAAGGAAAACCATGGTTCTTACTCCCCTTCTGGGATAATATTAGCCTAATTAGACTCATGAATGTGTCTAAGGGAATAAAAACTCCACTACTAACTCAATTAATGACTATAATGCTATTTAAAATAGTTGCACTTTAGGTACTTCAAAGGAATTTAGATCTTCATAACTCACAAAAAGGAATATAGCTACATATGATGGACAGAACTTACAAATATAGGGAAAAAGATAACAGTGTCTGAAAGGAAAACTCACACACACACACGTACACACACACACACACACACACACACACACACACACACACACACACACACACCACAGTGGAAAGCCAGTGGTGATAAATTCCACTTTAATAAAGAGATGCTAGGCAAACACAAACACAGCATACTGATATTCTTCATTTGAGGGTTCACAAATAAAATTCAACCATAAGACAGCTCAATGTTGGAAACAATAAGGACAAGAATGAAAGTTTCAGTGACATGACAGCATCTTGAATGATCACGATTATCAAAGATTTATACAAAAGTACTTTCCTAAAGCAACCTTTTGTTTATAAAATAAATATTCTAAAACTGCTGCCCCCTACAGTCTACATTGTTTTTGCAACATAAACAACCACCTGGAAGAAACAAGAGCAATCCATTTCCACCTACTTTGTACTTATGCTATTGTGAAAATGTTTATACTGGGAAGAAAGTTTTACTCAACAGCAAACACAAATTATCTGTTACCTAGTTCTCTCAAGGAATCAAAATCTTGAGGAGTTGGGTTTCTATGCCTAAGAATACTTGCTCAACACACATGAGGTCCTAGTTCATCACCCCAGTCTTGTACACACATAAAAAGATTTTAAAATCTTTAATACTAAGGAATGAAGCCTAACTCTACATGTAAGAAGTTTTTCATTACTTACCCTTGCATAGTGGAATTCAACTCCATAGAGTTCTAAGGTACGTGCTGTGTTTAGGTAATTAAATTCTGCTTCTGCAGGAGACAAGCCACTGTAAAGAAAATATCAGGTCAAAAACTAGATCCATAGCAAAAATTGCCAAATTACAAAAAGATTATATGAAGAAATGAAGATTCTAACTAATCACCAAGCAGAAGTACTCCTTTTAGTTTTATATAGTAACATCTAACTTAGTCCAAGGGCATACCTTTTCTAGATTACTTTGTTTTCCAGCACTGTAAGAACGCTGTAAGTCCTGGGGCTCATGAAGTCATGAGATCCCAACCACAAGCAAAGAACAATTAATACCTACTGAGAGGGTTGAAATTAGTCCTTTCCAGGGATGAACCCTCTAATTGGTTATCCAATACCACATGATCCGTCAGCAAGCTGTACCCATATTTACGCATATATATTGTGTTATATATATATATCATATATATATATAATAAAGAAAAAAGTTATCAATTTAAGAGGGAGTCAGGGGAGTACTGGAGGGATTAGAGGGAGAAAAGGGAAGGAGGAGAATAATAAAATATTTAATTAAAACTATTTTTAAAGGGTGGGGACAATTAGGAAGAAACTATTAGGAAGTATTACAGATCAGAAGAGAAAAAAAGAAAAGTAATACAGCAAGTTTTAAAACCTGTAACTGATCTTACAGCTCTTAACAAAGCCACTTAACTTCCAGACAACTTTCAAACATTTCTTACAACACAGTTTATACACCATAACCACATGTAAAATCTACAGGGCACTTCAACATGCAACACTGTCACAGCATACACAAACACAAGTATCAAGAGGATTTTAGAGCAACCTTGAAGCCTTTAAATGTTTTCAATTTCTCTGTGCTAACCTGTCAACTATTCATTTTTACTTTATATTTCAAACTATATCATATATAGTCTAACACTGACTGATGGGAAGGAATGAGCCTTTCATCTGAGATGCTTAGAAGCATAATGCCACAGGGAGACTGAGGTGCAAGCTTCATATTTAATAAATATTTCCAGTGATTCTTAAGACAAAAATTTCAGAGCTACTCTAAAATATGTCTACTCTATTTCAAACATAGTTCTAATGACCTTAGTTATATGGTGTTAGGAAGCAATACAGCAGAAAGTTATAAAAACTAAGATATCAATTTTTACATCACTGATACTGGAAAGGAGCCAGTCACCTGACAATGCATAATCAAAATGGATGTGACCCCCTCAACAATAGTCCTTCCAATTAAACTTAATTCTATTTTTGCTTATAGCTCTGACAAATCAAGTTTTCAAACAAAACTAACTTGTGGAAAGCAAATGCCCTTTCCTTATTTAAGGGACTTTTAGTAGGCAAATTTTAAAATTCCAGTTTATGTTCATTTACTCAGATAGGCTATATGAAAAGTTTTCACTATAAAGGGATGGCGTTTAGAGGAAAACAGCAAGCTCACCACATAGACCACTCAGTTTAAATTCTCAAGTCATTACCGCAGGGCAAAGGGACCAGTCAAAGAAACACCCTGAGCAGAGAGCCAAAGAAACACCCTTAAAAGGACCAGAGAAAGAAACACTGTGTAACACTCAGTATTCTGTGACTCCCAAGTGCCAGAATACCTGACCCACTCCTGTATCATCCTGATCCAACCCGAAACACTTACATTTGGTCCCGAAACCTGAGAAATGCCAACAATTACAGTCTACAGCAGATCCAAAATCAAAAAGCCTTTTACTAGAAAGGACTAAAACAGTATTTTAAAGCCTTATAGATAAACTGGCTTTGTAGCAACTACTTTATCATGGAAAGCAAGCCACCTCCAACATAGAAATGAGTGAGGATGTCTGTTCATTTATAAACAATGGGTTTCAGAAAATTCCACCTCCTATAAAATATTATTTTCCCCTCAAGCAATTAAAGTATATAGACTGAACATGTAGCTCAATTTTAGAGCACTTTCCTAACATAAGCAAGGTCTAGGTTTGATCCAAATATTTTGTGACATGTTTAGATATATTACATTTACAATATACATATATATTATATTACATTAAAAAAAACATGTATTTGCCATGCTTAGCCCACTGGCTGTTCAAAATTAGGTACTGAGCTGTTGTTTTCTAACTTGTTTGAGACACTTGAATTATTATCAAATTGGCAATAAGAGCTATTATTTCTTTAGTTTCTATCATGTATTAGGTACCAGCTTGAGAACTTTGTATATATAATCTCACTTAATACTCAGAGTTTCTGGCCAGTCATAGTGGCACAAATCTTCAATCAACACTCAGGAGGCAGAGTCAGGCAGATCTCTGAGTTCGAGGCCAGTCTTGTTTATGAGTTCCAGGATAGGCAGGGCTACACTTTAGAGAAACCCTGTCTTAAAAAAACAAAGACTCAGAATTTCTAACTCAAGATACTTTAAGTGTCTCAAATTATATAAGGAAATAGAGCAACACAAATAGAATTAAGGCCAAGGTTATAAAATAGTAATCTGACTAGAAGTCCAAGCCAGTGAGTCTAACTCTAGATCAAACTTTTAGTCAATGTGCTACACTATCTTTGTTCTGTCACTATTCTGAATCATAGTTTAAACCAAAACTTGACCTCCCCCCTCAAAAAAAGAAAAAAAAAGAGCAACATTTGTTATTTTTCAAGTCTGGGTTTCTCTGTGTAGCCCTGGCTGACTTAATCACTCTGTAGACCAGGCTGACATCGAACTCACAGAAATACATCTGCCTCTATGTCCTAAATGCTAGGATTAAAGGTATGCACTACCCCCTCCCAAAAACAATTCTTAAAACCAGGCAGTAGTGGCACACACCTTTTATAATCCCAGCACGAGGAGGCAGAAGCAGTCAGATCTCTGAGATTGAGACTAGCCTAGCAAACATGGTGAATTCCAGGACAGCCAGGACTCTGCAGTCTCAAAAAACAAAACAAAACCCAACAATTGTCTTTTTAAAGAAAATGTCACAAGTAAATGCAGTTAGCTTAGAAGGTGTTGCTCTTCTTATTCTTGAAGATGAGCCAGATTCAATTCCCTACATGGTAGCTCACCATCAGTTCCAGGGGTTCTGATGCTTACTTCTGACCTCACTGAGTACCAGATAGGCATGTGGTCCATACACAGACATGCAGGCAGAACATGCATACACATAAAGTAATAAGTAAATCTTTTAAAAAGGCCACAAAAGATTAGACTAAAATAAATTCAAAGCTGAATACTACTGTGAACAAAGCAAGCCAACTGCCTTTAAAAAGACCATTAAGAACTACAATGGGTTGTTTGTTACTTTTCTCCTCCTCACTTGTTACCAGAGAATAAACATCCTTTAAAACCTAAAAAATTAAGAAAATTACCAAGTGCTCTGCATACTATAAATACATTGCTCTAAAATTTTCTTTTTTAAAATTAAAGTTTTATTTTGTTTTTAATCACAAAGAATGTGGTATGTGTACTTATGGGTAGGTGTGCACGTTTAAGTATGGGTGTCTACGGAGGCCAAAGAGGGCATCAAGATCCCATGGAGCTGGGGTAATACACACTTGTGCGTCACCTGATCTGGGTGCTGGGAACTAAACTTGGGTCCTCTGTAAGAGCAACAAGCAGTCTTAGCCATTGAGCCATCTCTCCAGCCACCTAAAATTCTTTCTAACAATAAGCAATGTTACATAAAAGCAAATAAGCTGTTTAAATATAATGTGAAATAAGCAATGAAATGATTTTAGTATAAATCATCTGCATAATATTCCTCTATAATATAGAAATTTCTATATTTAAATACAACAATAGAATTAAGAATGATGTAAAACATTTCTCTTTCTAGAAAGGTTGCCAATAAAGCTTATCAAATAAGCAGAAAATTAAATAAATGCTTACATGTGTTGTTGATGTAACTTCACAATTTCTTTTTCAAAATCTTGAGGTTGATTAGGAATGAAAGAATAATCTGAGAGGTAGCCTGGCAAGTTTTCTGACTGATTGTAATCTCCAAGTTCAGCTAATAAGAAAAGGAAAATATAAAATATTTTAATTATACTCAAATAAGCAATGTCATTAATTTTTATATATTTTTGGAATGAATACATGTTTCTAATGAAACCACATTAAACAAGTTGCAATAAATCATGTATTCTTCAGGGTCTCAATATCATAAAAAAATTTCAAGAATCAAAGTAATTGTTACCCAACCGGACATTTTGCTGCATTTCCTCAGTAGTTCCTACATTCTACACATCTGAAGAGCTCCTGTACTAATAGCACTGTACTATCAATACAGACTACAAAACCACATGGTACTTGACTTAAAAGTAAGCTGATACTTACACTGAATAGCAAATGAAGCTAAAAGGGCAGCAGTATTATAAGGACAGGACAATCTAGTAAGACAAAAGAGAAAATATATAACCCAAGGATAAATATAATTTCAAATGTGCTGTAGTTTACATTATACTACTGATACTGGAAGTTTCTCAATGCATTAATTTTAACCACCATTAAATTAATTAAGCTGGGCTTTGTGGCATACATCTACGATCCCAACACTCATGAGTTTGAGATGACTGCCAGTTTGAGGCCAACCTAGGCTACATAATAAGCCAATGTCTCAAAAGACAAAAACAAAAAACAAAAAAACCACACCAGAATCCCCTCCTAAAAAGTCTGATAAAAGGAACAAATACTACATAAAACCATTTTTAATTTGTTACAGCAACCAATCATGAGTTATTTAATACAGAACTTAAAGTATTTTTATACTATTAAAAAAAAACCTTAGAAATAGCTCACCTTCCAGTAAGAATGTCTTGCTTAATTTGCAAAAAATACTGATACCTTAAAAAAAAAGAACATATTTACTAGAATCATCAATTTGAGTACTTATATATGCTATGCTTACATTAACAAAACTAAATGTTTAAATATTTCCTTTTTGCAATCTACACATCAGCATATATAAACTCAGCATATGTACACATTAGTAAAAAAACACCAGAAAATAGGCTTGAAATGTGAATTGACTACAAGTCTTTAAAATTCATCAATATATGGACCTTTGTATTTTGAATGTCTTGTTTCTACTATAAAACTACTCAAGACTTCTAAGATCTCTGTTGCTGTGAGGATTGGTCCATGCAAGAAGTACTGGAAGCACAGACAACTTAAGCATCAATGACACAGAAGTAGACAACACACACAGAAACCAATGGAAAAAAGCAATCCTTTCTGTGGAAACAGGAAGTCAATACAAGGACATGGTGTTAGTATTCAGGCATCTGCACTGGCCTGTCCTTGGGGTTCTGACAGGACATACCCTCAGCTGCAGCCACTAAGAGCACCACCTGTGCATATTCACTATGTTCCCTTTTAAAAGGGGCCCTGACTACTCCCATCCTCCTCCTCTCTTTCTTTCTCTCCCTCTTTCCTTCTATCTTTCTGCCCCTTTTTCCTTTTTTCCTGCTGCTCCTGACCTCTGAGACCGGTCTCCCCACTTCCCTTTTCATGAGTCCTTTCCCTAATAAAAATCCCCTCTGCTTGAACCCTGTCGCAAGGCATCTATCTCTTGAGCACTGCTTTCCTTAAATTACAACATAAGACCTATGTGCAGACCATTTTGTTCTTATAACTACTGTGGAAGAACAACTGTCCACTTCCACAGGAGGTAAGAATGCTCTTTTACCAGAAAATTACTCAAATTCCTTCTCCTACTATCTGAGTGGTTACATGATCAACTTCTTTTAACATGAACAGAAGTATGCTGTGACACACTGCTGGGGCTGCTTACAAAATGGCACCGTCATGCTTTCCCTGAGAGTGGGTAAGCTAGTCAACATCTGGATAAAATCACTTGTGCTGAATAAAATGGACATAAAAACAAATTTCATGATTTCAAGCATTAAACAGGGAGTTTAAGGGCTTCATTCAACTTTTAAAAAGTCAAAACTCAAAACATAAACATTACTTACTTAATTCAAGACAGTACAATTTTATCAGATCTACTTTGTTTGATAATCAAAAGTTAAAGATGCGGCTGATGCAATACAGAGAAACCCTGTCTCGTAAAAACCAAAAAAAAAAAAAAAAAAAAAAAAAAAAAAGATGTGGCTGATGGCATGAGTCACTAGCAGAGCACATGCTTATCATTGTATAAGGCCTGATATCACTAAAAAAATTTTTAAAAGGAACTTGGTACAAAATAGGCTTATAGTTGTGATTTAAAGATAATATAAACTCTTGACATAATTGTAAAAATCCAAATAATATTTATAATTAACAAAGATCATTTACATATTCGTTTGACAACAAAAAAGGAATTATTAGGGTAAAATCCAGAATTCAAGTTCTAAAGCAGTCTATTATTTGAGGTAAATTACTAAAATTTGGGCAAGTCTTAGTTTCTATATTTATAAAGGGAAATAAGATCACCTGACAGGAGTGTATGGTTTAGGAGTTTAAAAAATTTCAGTTCTGACTTATTCAGACCCCCTGAACATGGGTGTCTGTTAAGAAGTCTGGGCAATCTATGGGGCCTCTGGTAGTGGATTAGTATTTATCCCTAGTACACAAATGGACTTTGGGAGCCCACTCCACATAGATACTCTCTCAGTCCAGACACACAAGAGAAGGCCTAGGCCCTGCTCCAAATGATATGACAGACTTTGAAGATTCCCCCATGGAAGGCCTCACCCTCCCTGGGGAGCAGAAAGGGGATGGGATAGGGAATTAGTGGGGGGCAGGGGAGGAGGGGAGGGAGAGGGAACTGGAATTAACATGTAAAATAAGCTTGTTTCTAATTTAAATAAAATTGAAAAAAAGAATAAAAATTCAAGGAAAAAAATTCAATTCTAATGATGCTGGTACTTGCCAATACTGAAGTACATTTAACATGATGGAAGACTTTGATGCCACTATTTTTCTTCCCACTAACTCAGAATGTTATCTCAAAGCAAGGAAGTACAGCAAACTTCTTTTTTTATGAAACTGAAACTACTCCTGAAGAATGGGTAGCTGTAGCTAAGGGGGCACTTGATGTTAATCAGGACCATCACACTAACATATTTCTCTCTCTTTTTTTTTTGAAAATGGGTTTTTTTTCATACACTATATTCTGATTATAGTTTCCCATCCCCTGAAACTTCTCTCAGATCCTCTTCCCCATGCACCCAAGTACATACTCCCTCTCTCTCTGATTAGAAAAAACGCTTATAAATAATAACAATAATAATAAATATAAAATAAATACATAAGCCTGAATAGGACAAAACAAACACACAGACAAAAGAAAAAAAGCTGAATAAATGCACAAGGAGCACATACAGACACAGAGACAAACACATTTGCACACACAGAAAACTTATAAAAACAAAACTGGAAACCATTGTCTCTGTGTACATATACAGTGTGTGGGTATGAGAACATGAGTACATGTGCCCACAGAAGCCAGAAGAGTACCCTAGATCCCCTGGAAATGGAGTTACAGACAGTTAAGAGGCACTTGACATGGTGCTGTGAACTAACGTGGGTACTCTGCAAGAACAACATGTACTCTATCACTGAGTCATCTTCTTCAGACTCACACTGAAGTATTTCTTAGCCCTGGCCCTCTTGCTGTAATACTAGAATACCTGAGGAACTAAACATGACTTTAAAGACTCAAGTGCCATCTGAGTCACATTACATCACAATACCTAGGGTTATAGACAATTACTGTGGTTTAAAGCTCCCCCTAAAATTATAAATTACCAATTAGGTTAGAGAATCACTTTTGTATAGTTATGATGATTAAATAAAATATAGTAATGTACCACAATTTACCAATAGCAATACTTACATGTTACAGGATTTCCCGGCCAGTTCCGCAGCCACCTTGCCCCAAATGCACACTCAGAGACTTATATTAATAATATTACTGTTGGCCGGATGACTAGGGTTCCTTATTGGCGAGCTCTGTCTTAATTATTAACCCATTTCTATCAATCTATGTACTGCTACAATGCTGTGACTTACCCCATAATGCCCAGTATTGTATTACTCCTCTGGCAGTATCGCTACTCTGGTGGGCTCCTGCCTACCTTTCCCAGAATTCTCTTTATCTCCTAGTCCCGCCTATCTTCCTGCCTCATTGACCAAACTGTTTTATTCATCAACCAATAAGAGAAGCATATATACAGAAGGACATCCCCCATCACTTATAAGGTATGAAGAACTTTGAAATTAAACATTACTTCTAATAAAAACAGATTACCTCCTACACTGATAGTTGGAGCACAGGTTAATTCTCAACTGCTTACACAATTTTACTCTCAAGTTCTGACCCAATTATCAATGAAATATACCCTCATCGTTTCCATTACATGCTATTAACACACATTTAGGTTCTAAGAAGAAATTCAGTTTTCTGTGTGAATTAAATATTGAACCCAGCTATTGTTTGAATGTGAAATGTCCCCACAGGCTCAGGTATTTGAACACTTGGTACCCATCTGGTGGTGCTGTTGTAGAAAGTTCAGAGCCTTAAGAGGTAGAGCCTTGCTAGAGGAAGTGAGTCATTGGATTCAGGCCTTGAGGTTTGATAACCCAGGCTACTTCCTGTTCTCTCCCTGCTTTCTGACATAATAACATGAGCTGCTTCATGCTCCTGCTGCCATGCCCACCCTGTCATGATGGGCTGTAATTAATCCTAAATTCCAAGTCAAAAAGAGCCTTTATTCCCTTAAGTTTCTTCTTGCCAAGTATTTTATCAAAGCAACAAGAGAAAGAACTACTACAATATAACTGACAGTATTTTAATTGTTTATATTAACATTATAAACATTAAAAATACTAGAAATCTAATTTTAAAATGTTGACTTTAATTGTTTCTTATATATTAAAAGTCTAATTACCTAAAACCTTTATTTTATAATATTTATACTGCTTGATAATTAAAATTGTTCCCTAATTCTGACTAATTTCCTTGGATTTTAGTATCCTGAGAATTATTTATAATGATAAAAGATTATTTTAAATATTTAACATCAACAACACATTTGCTAAATTTAGTGTGCAAATTGTATTGCAATACATTATATAAAGTATGGTTTTAAAGGGAGAAAAAGCAACAACAAAAACTAAGAGCTATAATGGTAAATTAAACAACTTGGTTTTTCAAGAAAAATTAGCTTGGATTCTATTACTTTTGCAGATATTCCAACTGTCTAATGTAGCACCTGTACTCCAGTGTCTTCTCATTATCATAAAAGCAACATCAGCAAACAGAAAAGACTCTCAAGGACTATGATTTTTTTTAAGCTTGGTTTAATATTGAGAACTCCACAGAAATCCAAGGAATGGCACTGTAGACTAATTCAACAGCTTCATTCTTCAGCTGCTCCATTCTACCACATCACTATATAGGTCACTCACCTATATTCTTATACCTGATAAGTATATAGAAGATATAGTATTCTAATTCTTTTCATTTAAATTATTAATTCTGCATTTCACCAAATGCATAGGGTTATCACTGAGCTTACCATAACATTCACTGTCATTACTTCTCTTACTTCTATCCTAAACATTTTACCTAATTCTCAAGAACATTCCTGGAGGGTTCCTACAGATAACTCTTGAGTACTTTCAAGTAAAGGTGACATGCTGAGAATGGGCAGTCAGGTGGGCATGCAGAGGCCCAATGTGCTTTATCCCTTTATCCCTGCAATATCCTTAATAAAGTCCAGTGTATTTTCATATTTTCTTTGCTCGAATGCTCGCTCACACTCTCCCCTCTCTCTCTATAATATACATATATATTATAGAATTTTATGTTCTCCATAAAAAGAAGAAAAACCTAAAATATGCTTATGCATGAAAAATATATACCAGACACTCTCACTGTGCATCATATCTTGAATATAATCCAGTGCCATCTCATTTCCTCATTTAATTTCAGCTGTTTGTAGCTGGATGAGGTGGCTCTGGGTGTCCAACTCCTGAAAGCTCTCCAAGTCATCCAATTACCTTGGGACAATATATAACCTTTTCAGTATGCTAAATTAGAAGTTCAAGTTTTCATCATGCTGATTTATTTTTGCCTAGTTAATTTCACTTTTTCATATTAGATCTTTGTCAACGTTTTCAACAGAAACAATTCCATAAACTCACCTTGTGTATTCTTCTTGTAACTTGTTGGGGTCACTTACAAAGAATTTGACTCTAAAGTTCAAACTGTAAGGAGATCCTCCTAAAATTAACAAAAAGAGCTCTAATTAATCAGATTGTATTAGTCAATCATCTTTATAAGGCATATTTGCAAAGCACCAAATACATGGTATGCTTACTCTTTAGCTGCTTCCTTATTGGTTTGTTTGGATCCAGCCACCTCTGAAAAATAAAGAAGATTTTTCTTCTTGAGAAACTAGCATAACAGTTATTGCATATATGTTCCACTTGAAGATTGCATCTTGGAAAAGAGTTAAGTTAAAAAAATTAAATTAGAAGCAATATTGTTTCATGATTACTAGTAATGTATAAGGGGAATATCATCCCTAGGCAGGTGAACCTGGGCTGCATTAGAAAGGCAGTCCAGCATGAGCCTGGAAGCAAGCCAGTAAGCAAGGTTCCTTCAGGGTTCTGTTCAGGCTCCTACCTTGATGTCCCTTGCGTAAGATGAAATAAAATCCTTTGTCCCAGAGTTACTTTTTTTTTTTAAAGAGTTAATTATTTTGTATAGAGTGTTCTGCCTGCATGTATGCTTACAGGCCAGAAAAGGCCACCAGATCTCATTACAGATGGTTGTGAGCCACCATGTGGTTGCTGAGAATTGAACTCAGGACCTCAGGAAGAGCAGACAGTGCTCTTAATCTCTGAGCCATCTCTTCAGAGGCCCCCTGAGTTACTTTTGATCAGAGTGTTATATCAAAAGTAACTAGTACAGTTATAAACTACATTTACTTTACTGATTATCTAAATGTGGGATTAATCTACCTAAAGCCTGATTTCCTTGTTCAGCTCTCCTTCAAACGAAAATGCTGACATAAGAAACATGAATACGAGCCGGGCAGTGGTGGCACACGCCTTTAATCCCAGCACTTGGGAGGCAGAGGCAGGAGGATCTCTGTGAGTTCGAGGCTGGGCTGGACCGACAGCCTCCAAAACAATACAGAGAAACCCTGTCTCATAAAACCAAAAAAAAAAAAAAAAAAAAAAAAAAGAAGAAGAAGAAGAAAAGAAACACGAATACGTAAATAAATGTGCAAAGCTGACAGAACTTAGAAACAGTGTATGTTATAATAAGCACTGAGAAATGTAACAGTGCTCAGGAGTGACATCAATAAGACAGGACTTAGGTTCTTAATTAAAACCATGAAGGTGGAATACTGATAATATGCAGTACTGGACTGTTAAAGAACAACATTCACAGCTAAAAAAATAGATTTTAAATCAAGAAAATAAACAAATAAACAGAAAAATAGGAATGGGCTATCCAGATGGCTCAGTGAGAATGGCACTTGTAGCCAAGTCTGATGACACGAATTTAATCACCTAAACTCACATTGTAAAGGAAGACTTGATTCTCAAAAGTTGCCCTTTGACCTCCATACATGTGCTGTGGCACAGATGCATACCACCACCACCACCACACACATGTAGAAAAACAAAAAGAAACAAAAAATTCAACAAATCAACCCACAAAGAATCTTATACTTCAATTAGAAAAAGATCAATATTAATAGAAAAAAAAAAGGCAAGGGAGGTCACAGCTGCAGGAGTTTGAAGCAGCTAGGTATTTACATCACATCCACGGTCAAGAGCAGAGTGAAATAAAATAGTGCACACATGCTTGTGCTTTGCTCACTTTCTCCTTTCAATACAGTCTAGGACCCAAACCCAGGGAATGATGCCACCTACTTTTAGGCTCTTCCTTCCCATATAAATTAACATACGCAAGAAAACCTCACACAGACACTCCCACAGGCCAACTTAGACACTCACTCTTTGGGACCTCTTTCCCAAGTGATTCTAGATTGTATTGGTTGGCAACTAAAACACAAACTGCTTTTTACTGCCAATTAATATTCCAGAGCATAGATGTGACACTTTTGGGTGGATAGGTTATTCTGCTCTTTTGAATGATAGTGCTATGAACATCTAAGCACAAATTTTTTGTGTGTGTAGAAATGTTTTCAAGCCTTGGGTACATTTTGAAGACAAGTATTATAAATTCCATTTTACTTTGTGTGCATACCAGTATATGCAGATGAACAAACTCACACAAATGTGGGTAGTATACCTGCGTGCTTGAATGAGCATGTGTGTATGTGTGTGCACATGAGTGTGTGTGTATGTGAAGGCTAGAGAATAATCTTGGATGTAGTTCCTCAGGAGCCATGCACCTTTTTTTTTTTTTTTTTTTTTTTGGAGACTGGGTCTCTGAAGGGGATGTAAAGTGCCCTAATTTGGCAAATACATGCTCATTTTCTGGAAGAAGTTCCACCAGAAAAAGATTGTCTGATTATATTTGATATTATTGTTGCTACAATGAAATCATTAGCTTCCCACAGTATCTACTGTATCTTAGCTAGCAGGTGCTACTAGCTTTTTTTAAAAACTATGGTAACTATAATTTCCAAAATTGTTCATTGTTTTTCTTGTATAAATGCTATAACTTCTGTAATCATGGCACACTAGAGTCTATATGAGGGTGGAGGGCAGAAATCAATGCTGGTGTCTTCCTCAATCATTCAATACCTTACTTTAAAAGGAATTATTACATTTTGGGGGGCACATAAATATACCATGTGTGCATATGGAGATCAAAGGACTACTTGCAGTTCTCTCTTCCCACCACATGGATCAGAGGGATCAAACTTGGGTGATCAGGTACAGCAGTAAGCACCTTTACCCACTGAGCTATCTTGCTGAACCTCCATTTTATTTTTTGAAACAAGGCCAGTAAGCTGCAGGTTCTCCCTGTTTCTGCTTCCTTGCTGTTGGGATTATAAGCATGTACTGCTGTGCTCAGATTTTCATATAGTTTCTGTAATATCAAACTCTAGTCCTCATTAGGTATGGCAAGCACTTAACCATCTGAAGCAGTCTCCCGGCCCCCCAAAATTTTTATTTTAATATTTATTATATACTTATTAATGTGACAAGCCCTGCTCTATGTAATGCATACATAAAAACTCAATTTGTCTCCTTAACCCCAAGACTGGCACTATTTGTACATCTTTACAGATCACTCTTCACAATATAAAATATGGTTTATTCACTTGTATAAATCTATTTCACAGTGTTGACTTCCCTCAAATGTTGGTGTCTATTTGTTAAATGCTTATTTTTATTTGAAATTCTCTGGAAGATTTTCTGTGAATACTTTCTACCTTCGGAGAAAAGACCAAATACATAGTTTGACTCTCAATAGTTGGTGAGGGATTAATAAGCTGCCACTAGGTTGTGAAAGCTAGTGTCCATGTTCATCTAGTATAAAACTAGTCCATCAATATGTGAACTGCTCTGCTCCATAGCTCCTCCATGTCATGAAGAACTCACACTTCATAAATTGTAAGCTGAAACAAGTGTTTTCTTCAGGGTTACTGTTAGGTATTTTGTCACAGCAATACAAAAGGAATGTATACAGTGGGGAAACTTTTAGTATAGCTCTGCTGTAATGTCTAGTACCTTTCCATTTCAACTTGAAGGATATACCTTAAGCAGTTAAGGTAATTCTAGTGGTAATACACTCCCGCAGCTGTAATTTATCTGAGAATAGCTTAACCTCCACCTAATTTTGTTTTGTGAGACTGAATTTCGCTGTCTTAGGGATTTATTGCTGTTAAGAGACACCACGACTACGGCAACTCTTATAAAGGAGAACATTTCATTGAGACTCGCTTATATTTCAGAGGTTTTAGTCCATTATCATCATGGCAGGGAGCATGGCGGTGGAGAAAGGGCTGAGAGTTCTAAACCTTGATCTGCATGCAGCAGGCAGAGAAATGGTTTGAGCTTCTGAGACCTCAAAGCCCACCCCCTAGTGACATACTTCCTCCAACAAAGTCACACCTACTCCAACAAGGCCAGATCTTCTAATAGTGCCACCTCCTATGGACTTGACTTTAAACACTCAAGCATTTAAACACATAAGTCTATTTGTACCTTTCCTATTAAAACTACCAAACTTACTAAGTAGTCAGCTAGGCTTTACCTCCGAATCCTTTTGTCTCAGCCTCTAAGTGCTAAGACAACAATTGCCATACCTGAATTCCCTCACATTTGAAGTAATTTTGTTGGATAGAGTTCACTGTAGTTTTCATTCAGTATTTTAACTACATTATCCCATTGTCTCTGGCTTACAAATATTCTATCAAGAAATCTTCTATGTTGAGGGCCCTATATGCCTGTTCAGACATTTTTCTCGCACTTCTTTCAAAATTCTGTTTGCCAACAGTTTTTAACCACTCAGATGTTTCTTCAAATAAGAGGTGCTTATGTCATTAACTTCTTCAAATAATATCTTTATTCCCTTTCTTCTCCCCATTTTCTAGAAGTATTTGTCTGGTTTGATTTTTCTACTAATCCTTCTTAGATTCCATTTTCTAAGAAATCCTTAAAATTTAGTTAGTGGTATGTAAATACCAGCACAGGTGTACCATATGATGTTAAAATTAACCAAAGGTGGAAAAAGAAGCAGCTGGAAAACCGAAGACATTTGAAGGAAGTCGACACTATGAAATAGGTTTATCCAAGTAAATAAATCATATTTTATACTGGGAAGGGCAATCTGTAAAGATAAACAGTACCATTCTTGGGGCTGAAACCAAAGTTGAAAAACAGAAAATGACAGTGAGCAAGATTCACACTTTTCTAGTTTTAAAACCAAAGGCAAGCTGTAGTTTTTTATGAGACAACCAACATGCTTGAGATGTCAGAAGATAGTTAGGAAGAAAGAACCTTAGATAACTGAAGGTTAAGTTCTAAAAGGAAGAAATCAATGAAAAAAAAGCTAAGGTCCAAACAGGCAGAGACATACAAGCCACCACAATTCTTGCTAAAAGATGAAATACACAGGAGCATGAGATGAAATACTCAAGAGCACCTCACCACCACCAACAACAACAACAAAAAACCAAACAGCTGGAACTTTAAAAAATGGCTGAGAGGTCAGCATGGGACTGATCCAGACACCCTAAATTTGGGTGTCAGCGAGGAAGCCTCGGCAATCTATGGGGCCTTGGGTAGCAGATCAGTATTTATCTCTGGCATACAAATGGACTTTGGGAGCCCATTCCACCTCAATGGATGCTCTCTCAGTCTGGACACATGGGGGAGGGCCTAGGCCCTTCCCTGAATGAAATGACAAACTCTGGAGATCCCCCATGGAGGGCCTCACCCTTCCTGGGAAGCAGAATGGGAATTGGGTGGGGGGGTTGGTGGGGAGCCTGGGAAGAGGAGAGTGAGAGGGAGCTGGGATTGACAGGTGAAGCAAGCTTGTTCTAATTTAAATCTTAAAAAAGATTTTTAAAAAATGAGTAGAGTACCAGCAAAATAGCTTGGTAAAACCTAACCACCCAAGCCAGATCCCTGGAACCCAAATAATGAAAAGAGAACCAACTACTACCAAGTTGCTCTCTGAATGCTGTGGGACACTTGTACCCACATATTCACACAAAAAGTATCCACACCCTTCTTCCTTGGCATCCTTTATACTAAAATTATAAAAGCAAACCATTGGTTACAAGAAATTTTCTTTTGTAGTATATTACTACCAATAGTTGATAATAATCATTAATTATTAATCTATGCTGGGTTTCTGGGGATTGAACCAAAGGCTTTATATATGCTAAGCAAGTGCATTACCACTGGACTATATTCTCAAGCCTTTCTATACTTTTAATTTTGAAATAGGGTCTCATCAAGGCTGGCCTTGAACTTTTCCAGTCTCCTTGTAAGGACCTGGAAGCTATAGTCTAACTCAGTTTCTCAAGTAGCTGAGTGCACTACCTTTGAAATTCTTATCTGTACCAGCAGGCTGACTAGGAATACTTAATTCAGTGACTCCAGTGAATGTATACTAATCTTTCAGTTTCCTGAAGCATTTTAGCAGTTTAGCAAATATTCTCTTTCATAGTGAAAGGGTACGTTTTCTTATGGTTTTTCATTATGAATGAATAGATACTAAATTTTATTCTATTTAAATGATTCTTCAATTATGTGTATTTAATTTAAAAAAAACCCTAGGGTTCACAGCTTGATAATGAAATACTCAATATTTTCTTCAGATGGAGAAGACAAAGTTACCTCCCAATCACTGCTATTTAGCACCATCCTAGTGATCCCTTGCTATGCAACAATGAAAAAAAAAAAAAGGAGAAACAAACAAAAGAATAAAGACTCAGTGGACAGGGAAAAATAAAAGTGCCTATAGGATATAATGATTTACCAGTGCACATTAGGAATAATGGAACAAATTACTTCAATAAGAGTTAATAAAGATACAAGATTGCGACATAATTAATTGAGTGCTCTGGGGTTGATACAAAGAAATAAGGTAGTTTTGTATTAATTTAGGTGTTCCAGGACAGGGTTTTTCTCTGTAGCTCTAGCTGTCTTGGAACTAGTTCTGTATATTAGGATGCCCTTGAACTCACAGAGATCCATCTGCCTCTGCCTCCTGAATGCTGAGAATAAAGGTATGATCCAACACCACCTGGCTTGTAAGCATTTATTTTTCACTTAAAAAAATTTACTGATATTTCTTAATCATAGTAAGAACTAAACAGCTGACTACAATAGATGCTTCATAAATATCACTCCTTATTCCTTTCTCTTTAAGGAATATAATATCTTTCTTTTAATATATTAATTATCCTCAACACTTTAGGATAATCTCACATTGACAATCAGGAGGGCAGGGCAGATGGCTCAGTGGATAAGAATGCTTACTATGCTCTTCAGTTGATGAGCAAAGGGGTTAAGACTGGGCTGGTTTAACCCACAGAAACAGTTGACCTGAACAAGGAGGAGCTCTTGGAACCCAGACTAATGGCTGTGTGGAAAGTATGGGACTGATCCAGATCCCCTGAATGTGGATGTCAGTGAGGAGGCCTAGGCAATCTATGGGATCTTGGGTAGTATTTATCCCTGGCGTACAAATAGATTTTGAGTGCCCATCCCACAATGAGGGAAGCTCTCTCAGTCTGAACTCTTGGGGGAAGGCCTAGGCCCTGCCCTGGAAGAAATGACAGTCACTGGAGATCCTCCATGGAGGGCCTCACCCTCCCTAGGGATCATAATGGAGATTGGGTGAGGGACTGGGGGGGCCTGGTGAGGGGGCGGGGGAGGAGGGGAGGGAGAGGGAGCTGGAATTGCCATGTGACACAAGCTTATTTCTAACTTAAATTTTAAAAAAAGGAAAAAATAAAAAGAATGCTTACTATGCAAGCATGAAGGAGTGAGTTTGAACTCTTAGCACCCACATAAAAAGTTCAACATGACAGCTTCTACCTGTAACCCCAGGAATTAGAGGATGGAGACAGGTAGCCTAAACAGTAAGCTTCCAGTTCCATGAGAAATCTTATCTTAAAACAAAGCAGAGGGGGTGCTGGAGATGGCTCAGAGGTTAAGAGCACTGACTGTTCTTTGAGAGATCCTGAATTCTATTTCCAACAACCTCATGGTGGCTCACAACCATCTATAATGAGATTTGGTGCCCTCTTCTGGTGTGTAGGTATACATGCAGGCAGAACACTGTATACATAATAAATAAATCAGGAGGAGGAAGAGGAAGAGGAGGAGGAGGAGGAGGAGGAGGAGGAAGAGGAGGAGGAGGAGGAGGAGGAAGAGGAGGAGGAGGAGGAGGAGGAGATGACGACGACAAGGCAGAGAATGAAAGAATAAGACATCCCATGAAGTGGCATATTGTTTCACCAATAGACTTGCAGTGATGGCCAATCCTAGGGGTGTGGCTTCAGGTGTGCAGACATGACCCCTTATAAGGAAAAGGAGGGGTTGGCTTGCTCTCTTGGGCAGTAGTAGGAACTCTGGAGACTGATCTTCAGAAGCAGGAAGACCACAGCTGTTATTTACTATTAATTGTGTAAGCTCTTCCCTAATAAATATCTGTTAATCATTTATCTTGGGTCTTGGAATTCATTTAATCCCCACCTTCAATCCCACATCTCCTGTTTGCAAACCCACACATTCACATGTATGCAACACACACATACACAACACAATTAACTGTGGGACAATATAAGAATTGAACTTTTAAATCTCTTCTTTGGAAACATTCTGGCATTAGATAGCTCTTTCTGAATACTTAAATATAAAGTTCAGTGGTAGAAATAACAGTTCTGTATGAAAAATGAGTGCAGGGAATTAAGAGAACCAAGTTCTTGGTTTTATTAATGTCAGAAGTAGCTCAGTCTTTAAGCATGTGGATTCAAATAATGACTTCTAAAAATATTAGTGTTATACTGGAAAATTTCCAAAGCTTCTTTTAAGATTTAAAATTCTATAGCTATTTATTCTATTAAAATAGCCTTATACTAGAATTTGAAATATATGTATACAAACTTGTCTACTATGTGAGTAAGAACCTATAGAGGCCAGAAGAGGGCATCAAATCCCATAGAACTAGAGTTACTGGATGTTGTGGAGCTAGCTGTCATATGGGTGCTAGAAACCAAATCCAGGTCCTCTTGCAGAGGAATAAGATAGCTTAGCTATCTCTCCAGCCCCATAAATAGAATAGAAAACACTGATTCAGAGAACCCTGTCTTCAATCTACAAATTTTCTAAATACAAGTATTTCTTTCAAAATATACTCCTCTTGACCAGGTGCAGTAGCACTCACTTGTATCTCAACATTGGGAGGCTGAGGACTGAGAAAGCGGCCAGTGTGGGCTACATAATCAACACTTCATGTTTAAACAGAGGGTGGTGAGGGGGGAACAACTCTGTTCTATTATCAAGAGGATACCATGTTTTTGTTAAGTTTATCACAGTCTAATCACATAAAATTACAAAGAATTCAGCTAAGACGTGTTAGCATATATCCTTCATCTAGTTCATAACAGGTGTATTTCTTAGATGCAGTTTATAATGCTCAATTGTCAAAGTAAGCATCTCTATGATTCACCACATCTTATCCTCTATTTATCTGACCTGTAGTTTCTAACCAGAAGAACCATGACTGGGAGTACCAAAAAAGTAGGTAAGGAGTTTAAGACAGGATTTGCACAGCTCTGAAATGGAATATCTCATTTAAAAAGTATCTTTATAAGATATTCTTACTTTGAAAATTTCTACTAACACATTAAGACTTTTGTTAGAATATCCATGAATATCTCCAAACCAACCCAATTTCATTTTAGTAAACTTACATACACCTAAAGCAGTGGTTCTCAGCCTTTTCAATGCTGCAACCCTTTAATGATGTGGTGACATGCAACCGTAAGATTATTTTCATTGCTACTTCATAACAGTAACTTTGCTACTGTTATGAATCATAATGTAAATATTTTTGGAGACAGACGTTTGTCAAAGGGATCATGACCCACAGGTTGGAAACTGCTGATCTAAAGGTTATCTCTCTTTAGATCATGAGGCCTTAGTCTAACTTTTTAATTGTCCAAGACACAATGAAACTAGTACTATACTTGCAAGTTGACTTACAGCCATGAATATCTAAAAGAAATAGACTCAGATACCTTAAAACAAGAAACATAGAACAGACAAAGGTATTAAGTCTAATTAATGAACTAAAAATGTTAAAACTCATTAAACCAGAAAGGGCTTTATATAATGAACACAGAAAAACTACAAGGAAATGAAAGGCAACCACTTGAACTTACTGGGTTATCTGTGGAATCATCAGCCAACTGTAAACCAAAATAGTCTCGCTCAGTCAAATCAAGATGCTTGAAGACTATATCCAACAGAACTTGTCCCTGATCATGTTTCTGGAAGAAAAATAATATAAAACCATCTTCAATAGGCTGATTTTATGATATTTCTTTTCTTTAAGACTGGTCTTGAACTCGGAGCTTCCCAAGTGCTTAATAGTTTAAAAGCATGCGCTACTTACTACACTGGTGTTTTATGTTTTTTTAACCTTGCATAACTTTGTCCTTTTTTACTACAATGGCCATTGCTTTTATACCAATGACTTGGTTAAGAATAAAGCTTTACATGCGCATACTTTAAAGAGAAAATAAATACGGAGATAAGAAACCTTTAATTGAAAATGCCTCCTGTAGGCTATTATCAAAACATTTTTGTTATTTTATATTGTTGCCACAGTAACATATGTATGTATCTGTATATATGTACACATGTGTATATGTATATATGTTCATGCTATCTCTCTACGCCTTTTATTCTTACACTGAAATGTAACTAGAAAGCTGACTGGTTTAAAATACAGTTTTGTGTAGAAGTCATAAAAGGAAGCAAATGGAAAAACTTTTCAGGAAATTGGAGAAAGGCCTTTAATTTGACAGGATATACCTTTACAATTACTTAGAGAATTTTAGAAAATATCTAACTTTAACCTTATCAATTCAATAATGTAGACATTATTATTACCATGTTCCACAGTTTTAAATATGATACAAAAGACATGATTGAATAATTTATTAAATAATGAGTAAAAACTAATAGATAAAAGAAAATTAACTTCATCAATAATAATAAAATTAAAATGAGAAATCACAATGATATGCCATGAGTATATGATAAAAAATGAAATTCAATAAGTAAGATAAAAATACTTAACTACATAACTGTAAAATGTATGTGCAGGCAGAAGCAAGCATCTGTTTGAATATGTATGTGTTTGTGTGTGTGTGTATGCACATGGAAGTACCTGTCCGTGTGTGCATGTGAAACACCCACCTGGGTGTGTCATGTGGACCCATCTGTGTGTGTATGTGAATGTGGAAGCACACACCTGGGTTGTACATGTGGAAGTCAGAGGTTGATGTTAGATATCTCCTCTATTGCGCTTAGTATCTTTTTATCTTTTACATTATCTTTACATTATCTATGTGTCTACACAAGTACACATATACATGCCACAGCACATACATGCAGGTAAGAGTTCAACTTTCAGGAGTCAGTTCTGTCTTTCCACCATGTGAGTTCCAGTGACTGAATTCAGGTGGTCATGATTGTCAACAAATACCTCTACCTGGTGAGCTATCTCCCCCTGCCTCTCTCTTATTTTTGAGTCAGGATCTATCATTGAACCTGGAGTTCACCATTAAGATAGACTGGATACCCAGAAAGTCCCTAAGATACTCCTGTCTCCATACCCCAGAATGGAGTTACAGACAGGTGCTGCTAAGCTAGCTTTTTATATGAGTAGTCAGGATCTAATTTCAGGCCTTCATATTTGCATACTTTATAACCAAGAGCCACCCCCCCCAGCCTAAATTTGTAAGTATTAAGCAAAAACAGTAACTTTATCAATTATTTCAGGGATACCTGAACATCAGAATAAAGTCTAATATTGAAAGTAATAGCTAAAACTCATTAATGTGTTCACTAGAAAACATAGTATGGCATATTTTATCACTATTATTTCTTCTCATTGGCTATAGTAGTCAGAAAGATTCTAAATAAAACCAGAATCAATTTCAGAGCTGAAAGGACATATATTTTTCTCATAATATAAAGCATAAAGGTAGAACAGATCCTAGAGCTAAGTCAACCGATGAGAGGCAATCAAGAACTAGTTTCCCTCCAGTTCAGGCTGTATTTGTGGGTCTTTAGCAGCATTACCAACTCCAAGATCCATATCCATACATGATAATGTTCAAGAGAACAAACACACTTGTAAAATTACCACACACAAAAAAACTATGCATCATGTCTTACTGATCAAAACTGTGTCAAGACTGACAACCAATGCAAGGAAGTATGTGCTTCAAATGGTACTACTAAATGCTAGTAGTGTCCATTTGGTTACCTGCATTAAAAACAAAATTAAGTCCTGCAATCTCCTCTCCCTTTTTCCCATTCTGATTAATTGGTCTAGGGAAAAGACTAAGAATTACTTTTTACAGATACTATGGTGAATCAAAATGCACTCTTCTGAACAAGATGGGAGTTGAAATGCAGATAATGAACTAATTGAAACACATACAAGTTTTTAAAATGTAAAACAAAAGCCACCATATGGCTTTGTGCAGTGAAATGGAGATGTTAAGAATAATGACAGGTCAGGCATTGTGGCCTATGCTTTTAATTCCAGCACTCAGGAGGCAGAGGCAGGCAGATCTCTGTGAGTTCAAGGCCAGCCTGGTTTACAGAGCAAGTGCCAGGATAGCCTCCAAAGCCACAGAGAAACCCTTTCTCGAAAAAAAGAAAGGAAGGAAGGAAGGAAGGAAGGAAGGAAGGAAGGAAGGAAGGAAGGAAGGAAGGAAGGAAGGAAGGAAGAAGACAGAAGGGACTGGAAAGAAGGGTAAGGGTATTTGTTGCTTTTGCAGAGGACCTGGGTTCAGTTTCTAACACTCAAATTGTGGCTCACACCCATCCATGACTCTAGTTCCAGGGGATCTGAACCCCCCTTCTGGCCTTTACAGGCACAAGACACACACATGGTACACAGACAAACATGCAGCAAAAACAAAACAACAAAAAAGAATTAATCTAAAAAATAAAGAATAAAGACAAAGTTCAATTAAGAAATGACTGTACTAAACTAAGAAGTGACCTAAATCAGAGTATCAAAGATGGACCTATTACAGAATAGCAGATTGGTGAACAGGGTGAGAAAAAAAAAATGACACATCAAGAACGCTGTGTTTATGTGTCCTGATTAGCAAATGGATTCCTGGTGGTGTCACTTGCTGATTTAAAAGGAATAAAAAAAAAAAAAAACTTTGCAGTCCATCAGAGAAATTCAGCTTCAAAAAACAATGAGCTTTGAAAGAAAGAATAGAAGGACAATTTTAAAAACACAACTAAGAGGCTAGTGAGATGATTCAGGAGTTAAGAGTACTCATGGGCTGCTCTTGTAGAGGACCTGTGATCGGTCAACAACACCCACATGACGGCTCACAACCACCTGTAACATGAGTTCTAGGGGATTTGATGCCCTATTCTGGCTCTCATGAGCACTAGTGCACATGATGCACATAAATGCATATATGTAAAACACTTAAATGCATTAAATAAAAATAATCTTTGAAAGAGGAAGCTGGACTTGGGGGTTCCCTGGATTTCTTTGTCCCTCTTCCTATTGTGACCACAGTGAAAATGTGGAGGCTCTTTACTTTAAAAATACAAATGTAAAAAAGGAATAGTCTACTCATTCCTTGCTTCATTAACTTTCTGTTGTCAATACCACAATAAAACAGATTGGTTATGTTTAACCCCAAAAATCTTTATTTTGACTCATGGTTCTGAAAGTATTAAGTAAAGGGACCACATATAAGGACAGCCTTCTTCCTAGTAGTGTGCAGAGGTCATACAGGCATCACAGAGGTCATACAGGCATCACAAGAAACAAATGCATGACCATTTTATGGTTCAGATATGAAATATCCTCCCCAGGTTCATATTTTGAAGAGATGGCCCTCAGCTGGGGTGCTATTTAGGGAGGTTCTGGAAACTTTAGGAGATGGAAGAAATAAGGTCACTAGGAGCTAGCTGCATCTTGCTCTGGATCCTTCCTGTCTTTCTAATTCTTGGTTTCCATGAAGAAAACAGCTTTGTTCTACTACAGATCACATTATGATGTTTTGCCCAACCACTGCCAAGACACAATGACACAATGAAACCAAAATAAGTCCTTTCTCTCTCTCTCTCTCTCTCTCTCTCTCTCTCTCTCTCTCTCTCTCTCTCTCTCTCTCTCTCTCTCTCTCTCTCTCTTTCTTTCTCTCTCTCTCTCTCCTTTTCTTTTTTTGGGGGGGAGGGTCATGTGTAACAGCTGTGAAAAACTAAGAGAACACTGGAAGCAGAAAACTGCAGTAAATGATGTGATTACCTAATCATAGGGTTCTAAAGCATGAGGGATTCATTTAAGGGAGAAACTTGGGAAAATTTGGTGACAAGAGCAGAAGAGGCTAAAACAAGGAGTACATAAAGGTGTGAGAAGGTCAATAGGAATACAGACTGTAAACACCAGATTCATGAGGTTTGGAACAAAAATAAAGACTATAAGGAAATGGACTAAAGGCCATCCACAGCAAGGAACTTGCTGGCATTTTGTCTGTTCCCTGAGACTTTCAGGGAAGCAGAATTTAAAGGCAATGAATTAATTAATCTGATGGAGGAAATTCAGTACTCGGGCAATGATACAGTCACTCATTGCTAGCTTTTTGTTTTGGTTTGTTTATTTTGATGTGTTTTGAAGCAAGGAACAAAACCAGAAAATTAGAAAAATACGTGGCTTGGCCAGAAAATTAAGTAGTTTGGCATATAAATTTGCTGACAATGAGGTTGTGGTTGTTAAAAAACCTGGAGTCATCAAAGAAAGCCAAGTTTTTGTATCAGGAAAATAAGGGTGATGCCTTGATGATCATAGATATCAATGAGACTACCTACCACTCATGCCATGGTCAAGAATATAAAAGTATAAACTCACTGGAAAAAGATTTCCCCTTCAGTAGAGAGTGCTACCCAACACCTTGATTGCACAAGACCACCTAGAGAAGCATTTTCCCTAAACCCAGCAATATTAGGCACAAGGAGGCTACTTCAACCATTGTGCAAGAGAGTCCAACTACCATTCAGGCTGGCAGCAAAACCTTGGCTTTGACCATATATTTTTGCAAGCATGCAGATTAAAAGATTTCCAAGATAACAAAGGTTTCTACCCACATTGAAAAGGAAAGCCTATAAAGCCAGGCAATGGGCAGAACAGTCATATTCTTCACAGGCTGCCACTGAAAGGTGGCAGATGAAATTGCCCACATGAGAATAAAACGAAAACAGCTGAAAAAGAAACTCACCA